TTGTCATCTTGAATATCCGCGAAAAAAGAACGAATATCAAATTGTAAACAACTTACAGCGTTGAAACGTACCCACTCTGACGTCACCAAGGGCTGTGAAGTTTTTTTTGTTATTTCGATTTGGGGGGATCAGACAACTGATTTTGAAACCTTTAGTAGATCTCTTCTAATATAAAATGGTATTAAAACTGTATTTCTAAATAAATCAAACCCGTCATAAGGTCTTTAAACATTTGGAAAGAATACATTTCAGGAACATAACATTATCCAAAGCACATATCTCACATGTTTAGCTTCGTTTGGAAACATGTGTGAAGTGTGCGCAGTGAAGCTGTCTTTGTGATTTATTAAGTTCACTTTGGAAAGACTCAAGACAAAGATGGCTTTAGAATTGTATTTATCTGTGTGTTTGGATCTTCTCCACCGACTCCCACTGATGACTGCTGTCGTTGTGTCCTTGGGCAAGACACTTAACCCCACTTTGCCCAAAAAGCCCCCACTGAAAGATCAAGGCTATGCTCACACTCAGAGAGCAGCCGTCCTCCTGTGGACTCACCACCTGCAGAGGGTCAGTGAGGGGCTGGTGCTATGAGACTTGGGTGGCATCTCTGACTGCCACCCCCCTGACCCAGAAATGGATTAAAGGGTAGAAAATTGATGGATGGATGGGTTTGGATACGTACTGCAGCTGCAACATTAGATTGGCATGACACGGAGCTAATACATCCTTTGAAAATAGATAGATAGATACTTGGATGTGGCCCGGTTCTGCCTCACTTGCACATGGCCCGGGTCAGTCCTCTTCCTGGAACAGAGTCACTCACACACTTCAAATCCACTTTTATCATCATGTATCAAATCCCTCTCAAAATATTCACTTTTCAAATCCCTCTCAAAATATTCACTTTTCAAATCCCTCTCATAATATTAATTTATCAAATAAGTAAGTAATTCATATTTATCTATATAGCGCCTTTCTCAGACCAGAGTCACAAAGGACTTCAGAATTATTATTTTTGGGCATTTGTCTCTGACTCTGCACAGATATGGGAGCAGGGTTGCCAGTACACAAGGCACATGCCAGAACTATTATACACGTTTTTAGTAGTGGGTAAACCAGAGGAAAACCTACACAAACACGGGGAGAACATGCAAACTCCACTCAGATATACCTCATTAAGTTCATTAATCAAATCCCTCTCTTAATATTTACTTTTCAAATCCCTCTCATAATGTTCACTTATCGAACCCCTCGGTGCAGAACGCCCCCCCCCCCCGGTAACAGCTCTGGACCCTCTGATCCACTCCTCTCATTGATTTATCGGCCCGGGCGCTTACCCAGTGTCACCGCGTCCTTTAGCCGTGCTTTCAGAGCCACTTTATTGACCACTCGGCGCTCGATGGGAGGTTAGCGATATTAGCCTGATGTTTGCTAATATAACCACGGATTCGTTTGGCATTTGCCGCATCGATCGGAATATTGAGCGAGCGTCTCTATGAAGTGCATCCAACAGAGAGCAGGCGGAGAGCAGGTGACGGCCACGGTGTCATGGTTAGAGTTTGGTAAAACATGTGTCATTTAATCACAGTGTGGGGTTAATATAAAGCTGAGGTCCGCAACTTACAAACCTCAGAAATGGAACTATATATGGCACTTTTTCTTGTTTCTAAGCCAGTTTATATGACTGTTTTTCACAGGTATGTACTGTAATGGTGACCTTTAATACCACGAGAATTCCCAGAGCCGTCATTTTGACTGCTCTGATTCAAATCAATAGAATTCTCAAAAGTTAGTAAGTTTTACCATCAGTTTTATTTAACATTACCTTTATTCACTGTAAATAAGTGCAAAAACTGGTGAATAACAGTTGAAATACAGAAAAACAGTTTTTTTGGAATGCTAATGCTAACTGGTATCAAGTTAACAGTATGTTGCCATGGTTACTAGTGCTTGCTCTTGTTTTTTTTTTAAATCAGAATTCCATTGATTGTATTGGGAGTAGCCAAAATGACAGCTCTGGGAGTCGTAGCCATTTCAGAATCCTGGGAGTTCTAGTGTTGAGATCAAATCATTTTCCAGTGAGGACCCTGCAGCCCTCTCCAAACCGCCTCTGAGCCTCCTCCAAACTACTGTCTTCTCATTACAGGGAGCATCATTACTTGTCTGGGGTGACAGAACCTCGCAGATATTTTGTTTTGGATCTCTAACTAGCACATATTGACCACCTGCTGGCTTCTGACCGCCGCTAATGAAAATGTCAGCTTCATATTGTCTTCTCCGCGGTCTCTCTTCCTGTTGCTGGTTTTAATCACTCACACTGGCTAATATCCCGGGTAATTGTGCACTATTATTTATTACAGGCATTAGCGAGCCGCGTCTGCACAGCGAGACGTCGATATCGGGCGAGGAAACGCTAACAACGCCTTCCAGAGAGTAAACAGAACACATATTTGATTAAAACTGCCTCTTTTCTCACATTTTAGATCAGAAATATGGTACCAGTGTCGCACATTTAGGCTGGATTCAGAAAGGTTAATTTTGTCTTGAGCTAAAATGTTTTTTCTTGTTCGTTTGAAACACAAGTTATTCTTAATTGATGAAGATGAATTGAAAGTTTGCTTGTTGGTTCTGTGACTGTGTGGTTTGGTGACATCACGGACAAAGAAAGGAGAGCTCTAAGACCAGAGAGAAAGACCAGGGAGACAGACCAGGGAGAGACCAGAGAGAGAGAGATCAGAATGAGACCAAAGAGAGACCAAAGAGAGACCAAAGAGAGACCAGCGAGAGACCAGGGAGAAACCAGAGAGAGACCAGAGAGAGACCTGAGGGAAACCAAAATGAGACCAGAGAGAGACCCAAGAGAGACCATTGAGAGACCAGGGAGAAACCAGAGAGAAAGACCAGGGAGACAGACCAGAGATAGACCAGAATGAGACCAAAGAGAGACCAGGGAGAGACCAGAGAGAGAGACCAGGGAGAGAGATAAGGGAGGGACGAGAGAGAGAACCAGAGAGAGAGAGACCAAAGAGAGACCTGAGAATGACCAGAATGAGACCAGAGAGAGACCAGAGGGAGACCTGAGAGAAACCAAAAAGAGACCAGAAAGAGACCAAAGAGAGACCAGAGAGAAACCATGGGAGACCAGAGGGAGACACCAGAAAGAGAGACCAGGGAGAGACCTAAGAGAGAGACCAGAATGAGACCAAAGAGAGACCAGCGAGAAACCATGGAGAGACTAGAGAAAGAGACCAGAATGAGACCAAAGAGAGACCAGCGAGAGTCCAGGGAGAGACCAAAGAGAGAGACCTGAGAGACCAGAGAGAGACTAGAGGGAGACCATATAGTGAGACCTGAGAGAAAGAGAGAGACAGAGAGAGACCTGAGAGAGACCTGAGGGAGACCAGAGAGAGAGACCTGAGAGAGACCAGAGAGAGAGACCAGAGAGAGACCAGAGAGAGACCTGAGAGAGACCTGAGGGAGACCAGAGAGAGACCTGAGAGAGAGGTTCTTCATGAATCCAGACTCTTAAACTGAGCTCTTAAAATAATCGATGATTCTTCTGACCCTTGGAAAAGCCGTGTTCCAGCTTCTTCCCTCTGACAGCTGAAATGTATTTTACGGGGTTATAAAGTCTTCCGAAATAACTGCTGTTGTGATTTAGGACGATGCAAATATGAATGGATTTTAGTTGAATAAAGTGATAAACAAAGCAGGACTCGCTGTCTCTGTTTTAATTCATATACAGTATATTTTGTCACTCTGTCGTTATGAAAGATATTAAAGTCCTTTTCACAGTAAGTACCCTTCCTTCTGTTCTGCACACCTGTCACCTTCTTCGGTGTGCAGAGTCTTAGGGATTAAATATAAAATCTCTAAACATTTGCAATTTTCTCATCTGCGTCTAACCCTGCTGTGAACAAACGTCGAAGCACAAAAAGAAGCCACATGAGAAAGTAAGAAAATTTTTATTATTATCTATATCACAGGCGAGGTGTGGTCTATGATTGTCCATAGATCTTTGTCGGGCTGAAGCATCTGTGTGTCCATACCTGCAGGTGAAAGCCAGACCTCTGAAGCTAGGCAGGGCAAAGCCTGGTTAGTGCTGTGATGGGAGACGTCTACGAACATTAGGAGCCAAAGTGGGATGGCTGATATGTCATACTGTTGTTGTGTCCCTAGGCAAGGCACCTCACTCGTATTAGAATGGGTGTGGTGTGTGAGTGAATGGCTGGAAGGGGCAGATGGCACACACTGTTTGCCGCACTTTTGATAGTGTGCCCAAGGCAGCTGTGGCTATAGAAGTCGTTAGTCACTGTGTTTGGAGTGAAATAATAATTAGATGCAAAGTGTTTTGTGACCAAAAAAGTGATATTTGAAATAAATGTTTTATTGTTATTATTGTTATTGATATTAAATATGTGTCATATGCATGTATGCATCTATCAGATCAAGTCCAACCCAATATGTAAATATGTTTACACAATGGTACTTAGCAAACATGAGGGAAGATCCTTACACTTAGCCTTTTATGTAAGTAAGTAATCTTTATATTTACATAGCGCCTTTCACAGACCAGAGTCACAAAGGTTTACAATTGTTATTTTTTGGGCACTTGTCCTCTCACTCCACACAGAGATGGGAGCGGGGTTGCCGAGCATATTATTGTTCATATTTTTAGTGGTAGGGGAAACCAAAGCACCTGGAGGAAACCTACGCAGACACGGGGAGAACATGCAAACTCCACTCAGAAAGGCCCTGGTCCGACCGACTTTTACTATTGAAAAGTCAGAGCCACATGTTGTTATGGTGCACACTGTAGACAAGGCGTGTCAAACTTAGGCTCTTGGGCCAAATCCGGCCCCCAAGACCATTTTTAGTGGTCTCCACAATGATTTTCTATTATTATTGTTATTAACTTGCAGCATTGATGGGAAGGGGCTGCCAATCTATTTTCTCAGTAATCCTCTGCTGATTGGTGGAGAGGCAGGCCGGAGGCGGGTCTAGACGTTCTGATCCCTGTCAATCACGTTGTAATGTTTGCTCTCCTCATCATGAGCTGATGCTGTGTACCCAGGGTGCACTGGGGCAGGGCTCGCACACACCGGGGAGGCCTGAGCAAACAGTCTCAGGACGTCAGGCAAATGAAAACACCATCGATCTGTGTCCATGAGCAAAGGTCCAGACCCAGAACCGGACCCCGAATGGACCGCAGCATCAGGTGAAAGCATCAGGCCAAAGCATCAGGTGAAAGCATCAGGCCAAAGCATCAGGTGAATGCATCAGGTGAAAGCATCAGGCCAAAGCATCAGGTGAATGCATCAGGTGAAAGCATCAGGCCAAAGCATCAGGTGAAAGCATCAGGTGAAAGCAGCAGGCCAAAGCATCAGGTGAAAGCAGCAGGCCAAAGCATCAGGTGAAAGCATCAGGCCAAAGCATCAGGTGACAGCATCAGGCCAAAGCATCAGGCCAAAGCATCAGGCCAAAGCATCAGGTGAAAGCATCAGGCCAAAGCATCAGGTGAAAGCATCAGGCCAAAGCATCAGGTGACAGCATCAGGCCAAAGCATCAGGCCAAAGCATCAGGCCAAAGCATCAGGTGAAAGCATCAGGCCAAAGCATCAGGTGAATGCATCAGGTGAAAGCATCAGGCCAAAGCATCAGGTGAAAGCAGCAGGCCAAAGCATCAGGTGAAAGCATCAGGTGAAAGCATCAGGTGAAAGCATCAGATGAAAGCATCAGGTGAAAGCATCGGGTGAAAGCATCAGGTGAAAGCATCTGGTGAAAGCATCTGGTGAAAGCATCAGGCCAAAGCATCAGGCCAACGCATCAGGTGAAAGCATCAGGCCAAAGCATCAGGTGAAAGCATCAGGTGAAAGCATCTGGTGAAAGCATCTGGTGAAAGCATCAGGCCAAAGCATCAGGCCAAAGCATCAGGTGAAAGCATCAGGCCAAAGCATTAGGTGAAAGCATCAGGTGAAAGCATCTGGTGAAAGCATCAGGCCAAAGCATCAGACCAAAGCATCAGGCCAAAGCATCAGGTGAAAGCATCAAGTGAAAGCATTAGGTGAAAGCATTAGGTGAAAGCATCAGGCCAAAGCATTAGGTGAAAGCATCAGGCCAAAGCATCAGGCCAAAGCATCAGGTGAAAGCATCAGGCCAAAGCATCAGGTGAAAGCATCAGGCCAAAGCATCAGGCCAAAGCATCAGGTGAAAGCATCAGGTGAAAGCAGCAGGCCAAAGCATCAGGTGAAAGCAGCAGGCCAAAGCATCAGGTGAAAGCATCAGGTGAAAGCATCAGGCCAAAGCATCAGGTGAAAGCATCAGGGCAAAGCATCAGGCCAAAACATCAGGTGAAAGCATCAGGCCAAAGCATCAGGCCAAAGCATCAGGTGAAAGCATCAGGTGAAAGCATCAGGCCAAAGCATCAGGTGAAAGCTTACATTTCTGCTGAGGCTGGTGCTCAAGTCATTTTTGTATTTTCTTTCTACCTTTATTGAACCAGGATTGTCCCAGTAAGATTAAGAACATCTTTTTCAAAGGAGTTCTGGCCCAAAGTGAGTCCCAGGGACCAGTGTATTCATAATAATTGAGTATTGATAAGTACATTGTTTTATATAATATACTTATATGTACTTAGGATGTTTTTCACTTTTTTGTTTATTGCACTTTATTTTAATCTCTTCCAGGAAATGTAAGGTGCAATTTAAAAATATGTATTGTTTTCTATTATAAATTATATCAAATAATCAATCCATTAAATTATATAAATATTATTATTATTTCTATTGGTCTAGATGAAGGCGTGAAAAAACTAAAATAGAAAGCGCACAAACACATATAAACATATGGTTTGTGTAACAGATGGACTCTTTAATTTCTCCTCTTGAGATAAATAACATATTTATCGATGTGGCATCTTGAGACGCTTCTGAGGAAGACAGAAGTTAACTTAGAAACATGTCAAGGTCATATTTATCCTATCCTTCTGTGATTTATAAGATAAAGGATTATTTAAATGTGTTTGGTAAAGCACTTTTGGTTGCCTTCTGTATGAACTGTATAAACTTTCTGATCAGAAAAACAAAGTCTTGAAGCGTGATCCTTCTACTGATGAGCAGGGGATGGAAGGAGGAGGGTTGCTGCACGGGCTGAAGCAGTTTGAATGCAGCGGTGTGTAAATATGAACTTTAATAATAATAATGCATTGGTTTAATACAGCGCTGGACACTCCAAGACGCTTCCCATGGCATTATTCTTTCACTCCATAAACAGTGGTGATGACCTACTACAGTAGCCACAGCTGCCCTGGGGCACGCTGACAGAAGCGAGGCAACCAGTCTGTGCCATCGGCCCCTCTGACCACCATCAACCATTCACACACACACCAGACTCAGGCAAAGTAAGTACGTAAGTAAGTAAAATGTATTTATACAGCGCCTTTCTCAGACCAGGGTCACAAAGCGCTTCACATTAAAAGCAAGATCAATACATACATATAGAGCATACAGAGTAAAGAAAAAACTATACAGTAAAACAAGTTCATAAAACATCAAAATAAGTGCGTCTTGAGCTGACTCTTGAAGATATCCACAGACTCCAGGACACGCAGGGACAGGGGCAGCTCATTCCACAGACGAGGGGCAACGGCCTTGAACGATCTGTCTCCTCTGGTTTTAAAACGGGTGCGGGGGACCATGAGTAGGTTCTGCGTGGAGGACCTCAGGCTCCTGTTAGAGGTATAAGCCTGGATCAGGTCCTTTACATAATCAGGAGCCTGGCCATGAAGAGCCCTGAACGTCAGAACCAGGATTTTAAAATTGACTCTATAAGCGACAGGGAGCCAATGCAGAGCCTTCAAAATGGGGGTGAAGTGTCTTGCCTAAGGACACTACCACAATTTGCCAGCCTGATGGGATCGGGCTTCCACATGTTTGGCCACAACCTTCTCTATAGCTCCACTTAGTCTCTTTGACGCAGGGCAGCTGTGGCTACAATATGGTGAAAGTCAAAGAACTCGTCTATTTTATATATTTTTGTTTATTTTGCCATTTGTAGGTGTTTATTTAGCCTCCAGATGTTGAGCTGGAGGTTGGTTAGCGCTCTCGCTTCTCGGCAAGAAGGTCCCGGGTTCAAATTCAGGTCGGAACAGGGCCTTTCTGAGTGGAAGCAAAGGAAGGTTTCTCACCCATCATCTGTACTTCTTAGCAAGTTTTCCCGACGTTTCGTCCTCAACCTAGCGGACTTCTTCAGGGAATGAATTTTCGGACCGAGCGTTGGAGATTTATAACCTATGGGTGTGGTTAGCCACACCCTAATCCTGATACTAACTCATTGGTTGGTTGGAGAAGAATTGGTTTGAGAGAGGAGTGAAAGAAGCCATTTTTGTGAGGAAACAAAAACCTTCTCTTAACAGAGGAGGAGGGTTAAGATTTGTTTTGCCTCGCATCTATGACGACATCCTAAAAACAACGCCCTAACTTGGGACAAGGTCAGTGACATGCTAATGAGTTAGGAGGGGTGAGACCTGCACTCCACTTGAGCATCCCAGCAGACAATAGGTCTGTGACATGCTAATGAGTTAGGGTCGTTAGCCTCAGCAGGGTCGTTAGACCTGCTCCCTTCTACATCAAGCAGACCGTAGATTGTTTATGAGTTAGTATCAGGATTAGGGTGTGGCTAACCACACCCATAGGTTATAAATCTCCAACGCTCGGTCCGAGAATTCATTCCCTGAAGAAGTCCGCTAGGTTGAGGACGAAACGTCGGGAAAACTTGCTAAGAAGTACAGATGATGGGTGAGAAACCTTCCTTTGCTTTGACTAATCCCTGTACGACTGAGAGCTTACACAAACTTTCTGAGTGGAGTTTGCATGTTCTCCCTGTGTCCGTGACCAAACCTGAGCATCAACATCCGGAGATGGATTCCCAGGGGCTGTTACTACGGCAACCGCTGCTCGTGACAGACGCCTTAACGGCATCAGGGTCAAGTGCAGGGTCAATTTACATGTTTTGTTGCAGAATCTGAAGGAAATCCACCCAGACACAGTGAGAAACACCAAAACTCCACACAGAAAGGCATCGAACCCACATCCTTCTTGTTGTGAACATTAGTCCTACCCACTGATGCCATTCTCTATCAGAAGAATATTTGACTATGAAACCACCGCTAACACGCACCACTTCCTCCAGCACACACACCTCCACTCTGGGCCCTTCCTCTCTCCTCTTAATATTAAATTTACACACATCCGTGGAGGGGCCATCCTTTGATTCCCTCGCCTGGCCGCACACCTGCCTGTCACTTTCGCTTTTTATCCCTTCCCCAAAAAACTGGCGCGGGACACGAGTTTGGACACTTTTAACAACGGCAGAGGAAAAACAATGAAAGGAAATGAAAGGCAAACCGTCAGCGCGCACAAATAAGCGGAGGAGAGATGAGACGGATCAAACGCACCTGGGAAGCCGAGATAGAATTTTTGTCAGCTCCAACAAATGATGAGCAGGGAGAGAAAAAAAAAAGCTATCAGGGAGTAAAGCTCGGCTGCAGCTTTCAACACGGGCTTTGAGAGAGACGGACGGGACAAAGGACGAGCTCAGGAGCCGGACCGGGTGAGAGCCGCAGATTAGAGGGTTCTGTTTGGTCCAGTCCAGTGAGTCCGGAGGAGGCCGTGGAGGAGTTCGCCTCGTACCCTGGCAGAATCATTGTCACTTTGTTTCTTATGTAGTGGCAAGAACAAAATACAGTGGAGTTATGCAGTCGCTCTTCCCACCGACCTAAAACTACTAAACAGACTTCTGCATCTTCGTCAGAGCAGCGTTGTTCAAATGGTTCATGAACTATTTAATCCCTTTTTCCCAATCCACTTCATTTACAAAAACAAGTTTCCAAAGTGCTGCGCAGAGATAAAAGTGACACATTTAAATATTCAGGTTTGCCAGCATACAAAAGAGAATAGATAGAACAATGCTGATGTGTGCAGTAAAAACATTACAGTTGTATAATTATATTTACTAAACTTTTATATTTGTGAATTTTAAATGTGTGCATTTGTGTCCATGATCCCTAACCCATCTGGTCTGTCCAATGTAACTGTTGTGTCCATATCAAACACATAAATACATAATTCAATGATATAATCAAATAATAGTGTTATTGCATTTGTCGCAGATGCAATTATTTCACGCACTAAAGGTATATGTAGATTTTTTACTTCTGGGTGGATCATGAAAACTATTGGTCCTTCTAATTGTCGATCATTCTGGTGAAGTGATACATGCTCGTCAAATAAGACCAGTTTTCAAAAAGTGCGCGGTTCATAGACCTGAGAACTAGACCAATGCCCAGTCCAGTCTGTCTTACCATTTGCTGGTTGAAGTTTGACAACGGCGGTGAATTTAATAGTAAAATAATCTGTTCTGGTTCGGCTCCAAAGATCAAGAAATTGAAGTTGGAGCAAAAGGAATGTTTAGCAAATGTCATTGTTGCAAAGATGTTGTGGCTCTACTCGCCACGGGCTCCGTTAGATGGCTGAAGCTAAGCTAAATGCTAAAGCTAGGCTAAACGCTAGCGACTCACTCGGGCGCATTACATACATCACGGTAAACTCAGATCCAATCGATTCAATCTGCAAAAGGAGTTAACCCCTCCCACCTGTTCACAAAGTCAATGGAGCAAATCCAGACCTTAGTACAAAATGGTATGAATCAATATGGACAGACCTGGTTCATTCAAAGCCCAGATCAGCCCAAATACAGTCAAAACGGTGATCTAAAGGTGCCCCGTTTCCCACTGCCTCTGCTCTAGTGTAAGTGAAAAGTCTCATTCATCATAACATTCTCAGTATTCTCCTATTTTCCTGACATAACGTCCTTTTTGTGGCTTTGCGGATCATTTTCATAGACTCTTCATTGGTCTGTGTCGAGCTCTTTTTAAATAAAATCAATCACCGACGTTGCCTTTGACTGAAGCGGCAGCGGTCATAGTTCAAAGGCGACTTCAGCGAGGGTTGAAAGTGCTCAGACTGATGCGTGACTCTATATGTGGAGATTCTCTCAGGTCTGAGGGCGTTTGAAAGCACCACAGATCCACCGGCCTCGTCTCTTTTTTGTGTTCTCTCCGTTGGATATGATTAGCCCTTCCTTATTTCTGTACATCCCTGTATCCGTGTGGTTAGCAGACCCCCAAAGCTCCTGAGACTTGGCTTTTTGTCCGGTTTTTACGACCACAAACATGCACCAGTGAGTTTTGCATTTTCGTCTTTACAGAACAACTCAAGCTCAGTCAGATTAGAGACACATGTTTCATTACATAATCATATGTACTGCTGTATTTTACATAGTTGTTATGTATACTGCTATTTCTGTGGATGTCTCTGATGGAGGAATTTAGCACTTTGTATTTGCTTAACTGTATACTTTGCAGTTTGTGTATATTAACTTGGACAGGGTTATTGTTATATGTTGTATTTATCTTTATCTTATTTTTTGATTAATTACTCATTCTGTTTAAATGTCTTGAACCTTTTATTTATTTATTCAGTATTTTTTTTATTATTAGTATTTTTAGCGCTTCTCTGCCCATGTGGGGAACAAAAAGGGGACAAATAGTAAAGTGTGATGCACGCCAACCAGTGCAAAGATGAACAAAAAATTGATTACAAAAAAGTTTAGAGACAAAAATAAAGTCTGAGAAAATGTGTATAAAAACTTCAAGATAAATGTAGCTCGCGAAAATTCAATTTGGTAGACGTCAGCCAAAAGCTACCCCCTCCAGGCCGGTTCGCTTCCCCAGCCTATCGCTCAGCAAACGCCCCCTTCCAATCATCCGTGCCGGACAGGCAGCCGCTTAAAAGCGGAGCAACTCCCACTCTAGGCCTTCTCGAAGCCTCGCATGCTCCTGAAGCCTTGCAGAGAATCGTCTGGAGGAATCGTTTTCGTCTACTCACGCTACTCGGCGCGTCCCTGGCGTCCTCCGTCTGGCTGCTTGTGGTCTGCTCCTCCTCCGCGTCCCTGCACTGGTCTGCTCCTCTTCCACGTCCCTGCACTGCTGTGGTTCGCATATCCCCACTGCTCTCCTCCTCTGCGGGCTCTTTCTGCGGGCTGCTCCGCGGGGCCCTCCGCGGGTTTATGTGCGGCTCGTTCCTTGTGGTCTGCTGCCGCACGCAGAAGGTCTGGCGGTGCCGTGCGTGTCCCTGCCTCGATTGGCGGTGCCGCGTTGTCCCGTTGCTTTTCCCAAGTCTCCTGGCATGTGAGTACAGTGAGCGTGCTGACCGCGGACAGATTAATCCCGGAGTTCTGGGCTGCAGGCGATTGGTTTTTGCCCTACGCACTTGACTGCAGGCGCCAGTTTTTTCGCCCCGAGCTTGGTCTGCAGGCTCCGTTTCACATGTGTTTGAGCTAACTGAGGGGCAATGCATATTAAATGGCATCAATCTCTATCGTCTGAGGGATATACGAGGAGCTATGTGCATTATTCAGATCATGTTCCGCCACTTGCAGTAAAACCATGCATTAAATAGCTAGGTCGCTGGTATTAAATTAGGTAACTAACTGCAGTGTTGCATTTTGAAAATGCAGCAGAAAGAAAAAGGGCCGAACGTGAATCTGCAATGGGTGTGAAGTAGTGTTGGAGCTATGAACGCATGGATCAGTGATCGTTCATGCGCATCTGCCATAACCAAAGCAGAAGATGGCTCCAGGGGACGTCTGTTATTCGCATGGGAATGTTTCGGATTCGGGTTGATTTATTTCCTCAGGCTGTTAAACAACCGTGGGTTGGTTCTCTGACCGCCGCTGCTGCCGGTCCCCGCTGCCGTTCCTACTGATGCCGATCCCGCCGCCGCCGTTCCTGCTGCTGCCTGTTCCTGCTGCCGCTCCTGCTGCCGTCTGTCCCTGCTGCCTGTTCCTGCTGCTCTACTACATCTGCCGCTGCCGTTCCGCAGGCTCCCAGGCTGCACCTGTCTCTGTGGCTCGGCTCTTCCAGACACGTATGTAACCTGGCTCATGGAGACAAGCAGCGCACACTGGCGCGACACGTCTGTCTGTTCGTATGAATCGCTTCGTGGTGCTGTTGCTCCCGCTGATGCTGCTTCTGCTGCTTCATACTGCTACCGCTACTGCTGCTACTGCTGCCGCTGCTGCTTCATACTGCTACTACTGCCGTGCTGCTGCTGCTTCCTGTACTTCGTCATCTCTCTTCACTTCGCTTCTCTTACTGAAACACTAAACAGCTACAACATATTCTACTGCCGTGGCTTTGATACAGGGTTTTTGCCGTTATTATCTACGGATGCTGCAGCAGCTGCTGCTGCCGCGGCTGATACAGGTCGTTGCCGTTATTATCTGAGGTTACTGCGCCGCTGCTGCTACTGCTACTGCTGCAACCCACTCTCTCAGAAGCTTATCCTGCTTCTAATGGAGGCAGCCCGGCAGAGTATGCCGCGCTGCACTGGACTCGCACCTGTGCTCCCAGGGTCGCTTCGGCGGTCATGCTTCATCTCTCTACTTAATCTTCCGATTCTATCAGATGCAGCTGGCCGAGTAGCTGCGCTGAGCCGTCAATCGGACTCCTAATCAAAGGCATCCATACCTATGTTCTTCACTCTTCTGATCGCAGGCTCCCAATCATGCTGCCCATCCTGCAGCGGCACTGAACTCCGGCTCATCTTCCAGGTACATGTCTGCCCTCCTCGCAGCATCTTCCTGCTCGCCTTCCATGGCTTCTCTGCTTAAGCGTTTTACTACTGCTCACTCAACCTTCGTGCGGTCCGAGACACGGCTTTTCCCGACCTTCCTACTGTCCTGATTACCTACTCTCCAACCCAAGATTCTAAGCGTAAGGGCGCCTGCAACATCAATGGCCCTCTCCGACATGTCTCTGCCCCTCCAGGTCTCCGCTTCTACACGGACGTGCCCCTTCCGTGGGTTTTGGGGGATTCTTCCAGGACCATTGGGTTGCCGGGCCGTGGCCGCTACTTTCCACCGGAGCATCTCCTCTGCCCTACACGAGATATTCCCAGTGGTCGTGGCCTGCGCGCTGTGGAATCACGCGTGGCGGAGAAAGAGGATCTCGGTCATGTGTGATAATCTCGACGTAGTGGAAGCTTACACAAAGGTCGCTCCTTTCACCCAACATAATGTCCCCTGACCCTTTCAACCTTCATCTCAAACAAAGTAAGTGAACCAATAAGATTCTGGTGGCGGCACGCATTTCTCTCAAACACTCTCCGCTGCCGCAGCGTCTGACGGAACGTAATGCGAGCGCTCACGTTCCCAGCGCGCAAAGATAACCCTGCCGCAGCGTCTGGTTGATCGCGATGCGAGCGCTCACGTCCCGGCACTCAAAGATAACCGCATATAACGGTCACAGCACATAGTGATAGCGGTCATAGCGTCAGTGATAGCGGTCATAGCGTCAGTGATAGCGGTCATAGCGTCAGTGATAGCGGTCATAGCGTCAGTGATAGCGGTCATAGCGTCAGTGATAGCGGTCATAGCGTCAGTGGTAGCGGTCATAGCGTTAGTGTTAGCGGTCACAGCATAGCAAAAAATGGTTAGCGCAAAACGGTTCACAGCATAGAGATAGCGGTCACAGCATAGCGATAGCGGTCACAGCATAGCGATAGCGGTCACAGCATAGCGATAGCGGTCACAGCATAGCGATAGCGGTCACAGCATAGCGATAGCGGTCACAGCATAGCGATA